GAATCCAGCTTGAACCTCTGGAAGTTCTATGTCAATGTATGATTGTAGCCATTTCTGTATTACCTTTAGCAAAACTTTACTTGCTTGAGATATCAAAGAGATTGTCTGATGATTTCCGCATTCCATTGGGTCACCTCTCTTTGGAATGGGCACAAATATGGATCTCTTCCAATCAGTCGGCCAGATATTTTCTTCCAAATTTCTTGGCAGAGATGAGTGAGTGTCTCCTGTGCTGCCTCACTTTCTTGAAAGATTTCAATTTTTGTGCCATCAATTCCTGGTGCCTTGTTCTTTGCCAGAAGAACTGGGTAATACAGAGATCAGAATGTATAGAATTTTTTAGGCCAATAGCAGGACTTGGATTGGGAAACAATTATAAGATTTTGCAAAAGGAGCCATGAATATGTGTGAATGATCATTTTTAAGGCTGCTGTATTGAGACATTGTAAGGTGAGAAGGTTGATGACAGATTGGGAAGCTATTACTGTGTCCACAAGAGATGATGGTGGCTTCAATTGAAGTGGCTAATAGAGGTGATGAAGCATCTTTGTCAAGTCTGCTTCTTGTTTCTTGGCCTGCTGTTGTTATCTTGCTCTAACCAGTTTCTGGTACATAATTCATCCTTACAAGGGGCAGGAGAGTTCTTAACTAGTATTCTTGTATGAGATGGGTTTGGGCAGGGGATGGTGAGGGGTGATATAAAATTCTGGACCCAGTTTTATACAGAATTGATGAGGTTTATCAATGGACTGATTAGATGTTGCATGTGAAAAAGCAGAGACTGGGGTGATGATTGCTTTACTTTAAAGAAAGCTGATACTTACGTATGAAACATAACCTAAGGTCTATACCTCTCCTCAGCCACTAGTTTGACTCTGTAGAAACAACTAACAGTTATAATTTTGGGACACACACATATAAATAAATTCATATTTTTCTAAGTCATATGTAACATTCTTTTCCAGTTTTGCTATTCTCCTGTTTTTACATTAATGAGTATTATGTTTGTAACACTATGCATATAAGGAAGGAAATCTCTTGTCAAGAAAGATGGAGTCTTAACAGGGCGAAAAAAATATGTGAGGGAGCTTCAAAAAGTTTCTGAAAGAGAGCAAAGATCCCTGGAACCATCAAGGGAGAAAAGCAAAGTGTGAGACAGTGAAACTAGGGACGGTGGCAGAGATGATGACGTGGACAGAAGGAGTGGCTGGGGACTCTAGACTCAGGGAGGGAGAGGGGCTGTATGCTGGCGGCCATGGGGCAGGACTGTGGGGTAAACCCTTTGCTTGATGCATGCAGGGGATTGTGATCATTGCAATGAAACAAAATAAAATAGGGTGAATGTAAAGATAATGTTCACCCATGCAAACTAACATAATTCACAATAAAAACTTTTTTTAAAGTTCATGAAAAAATGGAAATAAAAGATAATGGATTTTTCTACGAACTTTTTGAAGCCCCTTTAAACATAGAGTGAGTGTAGTGTAGTATCTTATAAAATGGAAGAAAGCTGTGGGCTGTCAATGGAAGATCACTTAGCCAGCCAGGGTTCTTTGGGTCCAGAACTGTTGTTATAGGAATTGAAGTATTAAAATCAAATCTGGAGGTTTGGTGAGGAAGGATGGGAAATGAATGTTCATCATGTTTGAGTAGCAAATATAGAGTAATTATGTGATATAGATAACATAGGACTCTTATGGTGACTAGGTAACGTAAGATTTGGGATTAAAAGATAATGGATTTTCCTTTTCTTTTTAATTTTCCTTTTTCTTTTTCCTGAAAGGTACAACTGGATTTGGGACAAATCCAGGTGGTCTCTTTGGCCAACAGAATCAGCCAACCACCAGCCTCTTCAGCAAACCATTTGGTCAGGCCACGACCACCCAGAACAGTGGCTTTTCTTTTGGTAATACCAGCACTGTAGGACAGCCAAGCACCAATACCATGGTAAGAAAATAGAACCTTAGTTAACTCCAAGTTTTATTTGTTGTGCTATTATAAGGCTTCTTTCTAATCTTGTGAAATTAGCTAATTTGCATGTGAAAGCTGGACAGTGAATAAGGAAGACCATAGAAGAATTGATGCTTTTGAGTTGTGTTGGAGGAGAATATTGAAAGTGCCATGGTCTGCCAAAAGAACCAACAGATCTGTTTTGGAAAAATTGTATCCACAGTGCTCCTTGGAGGCCAGGATGGCTAAACTTCATCTCTCATACTTTGGACATATTGTCAGGAGGGACCAGTTGCTGGAGAAGGATATCATGTTTGGTAAGGTGGAGGGTCAGAGAAAAAGAGGAAGACCCCTTGTGAGATGGATTGGCAAAGTGGCAGTATCATTGGGCTCAAGCGTGACAACAATTGTGAAGTTGGCCCAGGATCAGGCATTGTTTCCTTCTGTTGTGTATAGGGTCGCTATGAGTTGGTATCAACTCAGTGGCACCTAACAACAACAACAATATAATGTAGTGAAGAGAGCAGATTCTTCCAATAATTAAGAACTGGATTATAGTCCACCTTCTGTGTTTTGTTTTTAATTAAAATTTTTTTATTGTAAATTGAGTGAAGGTTTACTGAGCAGGTTATCAGTTTTACAGTCAACAAATCATAGACGTCATTGCAGTGATTACAATCCCTTCCATGTACTGTCAGTTAACATTTGTCTCTTATTAATCTTAATTCTTACATTCCTTCCTGTGCCTTCTGCTGCCTTCATCTGTATTCTGCCAGCTTCTCTATTTATAATGCTATTGAGCAAGTCACATATCCTTCCTAAGCATGTTTTTTGATCACTAAGCATGTTAATTATAATTGGCTATCCTGAAACTATACCTTGAGTCATTGACTCAGTCATTTTATGAGGCATAGGAAAAGTATTTATCAATTAGGCTATAATGCAGAATGTTTATTCAGCTTGTGGGCCTAAAATTCGAAGCCATACTGGATATCTACTACTTTGTGTAGAAAGTGAAGAATAGTCTTTATAGTAGTTATCAGTTTGTTTCCAGAGGCCATTTTGGTGGTGGTGTTATGGTGTCCTGTCTCAGAACTGACTTCACGGCTCTTAACAACAACTCAGAGTGAGTCTGTGAGGTTTCTGAGACTATTAAGTGTTTTCAGAAACAGAAAACCTGCTAGTGGATTTGAACCACTGACCTTGCATTTAGCAGCTCATAGGTAAACCACTATGCTACAAGGGCTTCTTAGATGCTCTTTTCTTGTTGCTAAGTGCTGTCAAGTCAGTTCTGACTCATAGTGACCCTATATAGGATTTTCAATGTGCATCTGGTGTGTTTTAATCATCTATCTTTTGGTTAGCATTCCAGTGCTTATCCTACAGCACCAGACCAGAACTCCAAAGACCCTTTTAGGGCAGCATAAAATTAAAGGTTGAACTGAGGTATGATTTATTTATTTGGAGTTTTAAAATTTACCTGTTTAGAGATACTTTGCCCTTCTATAAAACAAATACAATGATACCTCAACAATTCTCAACAAAATATTAACAAACCAATGCGGCAAGATTTAATAAAAAATTATAAACCCTATCCAAATGGGATTTATGCAAGGAGTAAAGAACTTGTTAAATAGATGAAAATTAATCATTGTAAAACACTGTAGTGTGGCACTGCGGGTTAATGCGCTAGACTGTAAAGTTGGTTTGAACAGCAAGGTTGGTGGTTCAAGCTCACCAGCCGCTTCTTGGAAACCCTATAAAGGGTCGCTATGGATGGGTCAGAGCCACCGCACATGATCATCTCAATAGATACATAAAAAGCAGTTGACAAAATTTGATACCAAAAACACTCAACACACTAAGAAATGAAGTGAACTCCAAATGGTCAAAATAATCTGTAAAAGATCAAAGTTGAAGGCCTCACTTTACGATATTAAAATGTACTATAAAACAATTTACAATATTAAAATGTACAAACTGTATGACAGTACTGCATAAGGATAAGTACCTTATGGTATTGGCATAAGGATAAGCATAGATATTGTTAGTTGTTAGGTGCCATCAAGTCAGCTGTGACTCATAACAAACCTATGCACAACAAAATAAAATTCTTTTGCCATCCTCACAGTTGTTCCACATTTGAGCCCATTGTTACAACCAAAATGGTATACAGCTTTAGATCCATAAATATGTTAAAAAGATAGGACATTAGTAAAGATGAGGAGAAATTGGAACCTTCATCCTACATTGCTGGTGGTAATGTGAAGTGGTAGCAGTTGCTGTGGAAAACCATTTGGCATTTTCTCAAAACGTTAAGCATAGAATTTCAATCTGAGCCAACATTTCCCCTCCTGGGTATGTAACCATAAAAATGAAAACAAAAAGCTGTACATGAATGTTCATAATAGCAATATTCATAATAGCCAAAAAGTAGACAAACCAAATGTCCATCAACCAGCTAGTCCATTAGTCCACTGAACTGATTTTTTCCAAGCATCTTCAGTTTTTATCATTCTTCTCCATATGGGGAGAGACCAATAGATGTACCTTAGTTTAAGAGCTTTAGATCATGAGCTTTCATGACACCAGTCACTACTCACCAAATTAGGATGTAGAACATTGTCTTTGTGGACTAAGTTAATTCCAATTGTCCATGGTGTTTTCCAAGACAGTGGTCCTGAACCCCCAGGCCCAACTAAATTATTGTTATTATAGATGAATGTTGTTGTTGTTAAGTACCGTGGAGTCGGTTCTGACTCATAGTGACCCTACACAGGGTTTCTGAGGCTGTAAATCTTTACGGGAGCAGACCGCCTTATCTTTCTCCCGCAGAACCGCTGGTAGTTTTGAACTGCCGACTTTGAGGTTAGCAGCCCAATTCATAACCACTACGCTACCAGAGCTCCTTGGGATACATAAATTATACTTCCATAAAACTATTTTTTAAATGGTACAGTGAATTTTCAGTTTAACAATATTTCTGTTTCATTAACTGATGCTCAAATAAAACATTATCTTAAGCATTGAATGATGCAGACTTCCCTCATCTGAAGAGTGTAGTTTTTTCATTTCATCTGAAGAGTTTTTACCTTTATGCTCTTATCTCTGTTTAGCTTGAATGGATTATTTTCAGTTACTTGGTTTAAAATCCACTTAAACAACAGATCTGTTGGCCTAACTTTTTAAAAATGAGTAAGCCTGTCATACCTTAATGTTTTCATTATTTCCTAGCATGAGTATTATTGTAAAATCTCATTCGCTGCTTAGGTTGTAGGAGTTTGTCATTTTGGAAACAATAAATGTGAACTTGTGGTCCTACTACTCATGAACTGTGACATCTTGTGCAAGATTTTAACCACTCCAAGCTCTCTTATCTGTAAATAGACATATTTGGTTTTAACCACTGTAATCTCTATATCTGCAAATCATCCAAGAAACTGGATTATATGAAGAAGAATGTGGCATCAGGATAAGAGAAAGACTCAGTAACAACCTGCAATATGCAGATGATAACAACCTTGCTTTCGGAAAGTGAAGAGGACTTAAAATACTGATGAAGATCAAAGACCACAGCCTTCAGTATGGGTTTCACCTCAGTGTAAAGAAAACAAAAATCCTTACTGCTCGACCAATAAATAACACAAGTAGATGGAGAAAAGATTGAAGTTGTCAAAGACTTCATTTTCCAAGATCAACCATCAATACTCATGGAGGCAGCACTCAAGAAATCAAATGATGTATTGCATTAGGCAAATTTGCTACAAAAGACGTCTTTAAAGTATTGAAGAGTAAAGATGTCAGTTTGAGGACTAAGGTGTATCTGACCAAGCCATGGTATTTTCTTCTCAGTAGCCTCTTATGAATGTGAAAGTTGGACAGTGTTTAAGGAAGACTGTAGAAGAATTGATGCATTTGAGTTACTGCGTTGTAAAATTTTTTAAAAAGTACCATGAATTGTCAGAAAAGCAAACAGATCTGTGTTGGAAGAAGTACAGCCAGAGTGCTCCTTTGAAGCCAGTATGGCCAGACTTTCTCTCTCACACTTTGGACCTATTATTGGGTCCTTGGAGAAGGACATCATGCTTGGTAAAGTGGAGGGTCAACAAAAAAGAGGAAGACCCCCCAACAAAATTAATTGGCAACAATGAGCTTTAGCATAGCAGCAATTGTGAGCTTGACGTGTAGGACTGGACAGTGTTTTGTTCTAGTGTGTATAAGGGCACTGTGATTTGGTACCTACTTGACAGCACCTAACAACAACAATTAACCACTCTAAGCTGTGTTTTCATTTGTTAAGTGGTGATTATCCTTAATTTTTCAGGATTATTGTGAGGAAAAAGAGATAACTCTATATAAAGTAGCATAATATCTGTCATATAGTAAAGTTTTTTAAAAAACAGTATTTAGTATTCTCCATGATTTAGAATCAACTTGTTGACATCTGATTTGCATTTTGTTTTTTAGAACTGTAAGAAAACTGCTATAGATATCTGGTAATCTAGTTTAATCTTTTTCAGGGTTTATTTGGAGTAACCCAAGCCTCACAGCCTGGAGGTCTTTTTGGGACATCTACAAACACCAGCACTGGAACAGCATTTGGAACAGGAACAGGTCTCTTTGGGCAGACTAATTCTGGATTTGGTGCTGTTGGTTCGGTAGGTTTTTGTAGTTGATTGTAATTTGAAGATGGTATGTGTTTACACATAAGATTATCTGTTAAAAGGTCTCAAAGTACAGATTTCACTGTCTTTCAAATATTTTTATTATATATGTTGTGTGATTTGATATTGAGATCTACTAAAAGTTATTTGATGCAAAATAAAACAACTAGGTAATTACAATAGATTTTCAGTTAGTAAATTCTTTTTAAAATTTCTTACCCTCAGTGCTTGTGTGCAGTTTACTTCTGATAGCAAAGTTACCATTCTAGTGTGTTGAATTTAAATTACAAAGTATAAATTGAAAAGCATTCATGTATTTTTTAAAACTCTATTATGATACATGGGAATTACTGTATGTTTGGTATTGATCATATTGCTGAAATTGATGGGGTTCTCATATTGCTTTAGGCTGAAAGAATGAAATTTAAGTAAAATTGCTATTTAGGAATGCATAAGAACTAGAAACAATAGTAAATCTATGTTACTTTAAGGAAAATAACTGGTTGTTTGAGAATCCCAACGAAGTGGTCAATCTGCCCAATGTACCCATCATAAGAAACTTTGAACTTGCTGTTGTAATAGTTGGGGGTAAGAAAGAAACTCCCTAAAGCGTATGATCCTGCTTTCATAGAGATGTAAATCTGATTATTTCTGAATTTAGTTTGGTGAGGAATTTGGAAACTTATATAATGTTTCAGAAAATTCTTATGTTTTGTAGTATAACAGGTTTATTAAGATATTAGGGAGTTCTGACGTGGCACTGCAGGATAATGCACTGGACTGCAGGGTCGGTTTTTACTGTAAGGTTGGTGGTTCAGACCCACCAATCGCTCCTTGGAAACCCTATACAGGTTCACTATCAGTCGGAACTGATCTAATGGCACTTAACGATAACATTAAGATATAACCCACATGATAATACAATTAATCCATTTAAGATGTACTATCTACTGATTTGTAGTATATTTACAGAGTTGTGCAAATGTATCAATGAATTTTTGGAACATTTCATCATCTTAAGAAGGAACTCCTCGTCCTTCCCAATCCTCCCAAGCCTTGTCAATCACTAATCTACTTTCTGTCTCTGTAGATTTGTCTGTTCTGGGCATTTCATATAAATGGGATGGTACAACATGGTGTTTTATAATGGGTTTCTTTTCCTTAGCATAATATTTTCCAGATTCATCTGGGTTGTAGTATATTTAAATTTTTCCATTGGAACTCTTCTACTGGCAAATTAAACTCTTGATACATTTCTGTCATGAGGTAAAAAATGTTTGGTTGCCTAGTTAATTTTTCTTTGACCTTACTGAAAATCCTGTTTGCTGAGAGGTATTCAGGTAAGGGCTTATTTTATTTTATTTTATTTTAAACTTTTTATTGTGAATTGGGGAAGATTTGCAGAGCATTTCACCTTTCCATTCAATAGTTCATACACATTTTGATTCATCTAATTTTGATTCCAGCCTCTTCAGTGTAACATGACTTACCCCACTCCTCCCTGTGTTTCCTGTTTCCATTTCTCCTTTCCTAATCCTTCTGAAGCTTTGCTCTTGTATAAATGCTGCCCTTTGATCGCAAATGGTTGGTTATTCTAAGGTGTGATACCTCCCTAGTGTTGCTGATCACCTTGTGTTGTTGTTGTTAAGTGCCTTTTATTTGGTTCTGACTCATATTGATCTTTTAGGATTTCCAAAGAACTGCTGGGTAATTTGAACCACCAACCTTACAATTAGCTGTCCAGTAATTACCCTACAGCATTACTCCAGGACCCCAATAAAATAACTTCTTGTTGCTAAGTGTACTCGAGTCAGTTCTGACTCATAGTGATCCTGTGTAGGTTATCTGAGGAGCTGCTGGTGGGTTTGAACCACCAACCTTGTGTATCCTATAGCACCACATCAGGACTCCATTCCCCTTTTAGACTTGTCTGTTGTTTGGCTGAAAGTTGAACCATGCCGGTGAGTTCATTTCTAGACCTAAAGGTTGACTATAAAGGTCCATAGTCTTGTGGGTTCCACCAATCTGTCTGACTGGTAAACCTGGTCTTTTTCATGGTTTTGTGTTTTGTTTCACCTTTTTTAGGTTTGTTCCACCTTTTCCATCCACTCTAATGGACCTTCTAATGTAAATCCTGTCAGAGCAGTTGGTAATGTGGTAGCTAAGTGCAGTCCCACCATTTAATTCTTCTGGCCTCAGTGTCATCAAGATTAATATTCATATGGCTCCCTCTAGTACATTGGAGTGTTTGTTTCCATGCGTCTTTAATTTTCTTCACTCTTCTTTCCTCCAAACAGTGAGAAGCAGGCTAGGACATTCTGTGTTTACAAAATTAATCCTGTTCAGGTTTTCATTCGCTTTTTTTTTCTAATAGTTTTTATTCTTTTTCTTGTTTTTTTGTAAATACTATGACATCTTCTCCCCAGCCCAGTTCCCCACCTAATTCATCATATTGGAGGTAACCGCTATATACTGTTGCATATATCTTTATATATATATTTTTTAATTTCTGTCCTTTGTTCGTTTTAGACCCTGTTTGGCGGTAACAAGCTTGCTACATTTGGAACCAGCACAACCAGTGCTCCTTCATTTGGTACAACCAGTGGCGGGCTCTTTGGTAACAAACCAACCCTGACTTTAGGAACCAATACAAACACTTCCAATTTTGGTACATATAAAAAGCAGGTTTGACTCTCTTAAAGTTACACTGACTATACCACACATCATTCTCCTGATTCATAAGATTGGGAATATTTAAAAATTCTCAGGTAAGCCATGGCTTGTTATGAGGTACCAGAGAAAAAGTTTAAAATCTTGGCTATGGGTTGAGAAAATTAGAAGAGATAAAAATTGCCTTTCCTCATACAAATTTTCTTATATTTCTACTTTGGACAAGTGCACCCGCAGAGTACCTCTCAGAAGGTCATTTTCTAATGGAGGTAGAGTATTTTCAATATAAGAAACATCATTTTCTTTGCATTATGACTAGTAACAGATCATAAATGATACACATTGAGTTAAGATAACACTTTCTGTTAGGCCAGTTTTTAAACATGGAAATAATGTGCAGAAGATGGCTTGATAATTTGTACTAAAAATTGAGACCTTTCTGATTTTAGAAATTATACAATTGTTTTCTGGCAGTTTCAAAATTTTTATTTCTCTGACTATGTAGTAGTACATGTTCATTGTAAAAATTTTGAAATATTCGAGATAAGATTAAACAACAATTAAAAAAAAAAAAAAGACAAAAACCCCAAACTACTCTTCAGAGATAATGGTGGAGTATTTAAACCAAATAATAGAAACATCATTTTAAATGTCTTTTGTCACTAGTTAAGTTTTCAAATGAATTTAACACTACTTGTGTTAAATCAAATGTGGAAAGTTCATTTTGTTTACAAGGAAAATTGTGGTACAAATATTTGTTAAGAATCTCATGTGCCAGATGCTTCATAAGGCCCTGATTGATTCTTGGTATAATTTAGCAGTTACATAGTTCTTCAATCAGTTTTTAAAGGATCTTGTAATGTACTGAAGAAAGAGAACATATTAAGCGCACCACCCATGTTTCACAGAAATACATGAAGGTGGGAGATAGGTCCTTATCAGTTACCATTTCCTAAATGTATGTATTCAGTTTGGTTTTTACAATTGCTTTTAGTCCTGTTGCTTGCTCACTCCTAGTAATGATTTTAATTACACCTAAAGTTCTTTGTGGTTGTATCCTACATGAAAAAATAGCTTTGGGTCAGTATATTTAGTTAGCATTAGTATAGGTAAGATTTCTAGTTGATGTGTTTGTGTTTCTTGTCTACAAAGTTAGGGTGGGACAGATATGTAAAAGTTAAATGAATATATCTCAAGACTACAGGAATCTTTTCTAGATCTTTTTTTCTTAATCCTACTTCCCCCCATGAAATTTTAATACCTCACATATACTGTGTTGAACAATCAAAAACCATTATAATATCTACAATTTTTTACTCCCTCAAGAATCAGGTTTCACCCTTGTGATAATACATGGATTTAATAAATGCTTTTTTGTTGCACATTTCATTTTCAGGATTAAATGTTATTTTTAATCTGGCAAGGTGCTCGTATAGGCTATACTTGATAAAATAGACTGTAGACTGTACTTTAAAAGTATATTTTATATTGTTCTATGATTGTAGATTTTTGATTTGCTTAGGTTTTTTTTGTTGCTCTATGTTCAAATATACCAACCACGCCACGGGGGAAAAAATGAGGCTTTCTGCTCACGTAATGATTTACAGTCTCAGAAACCCTATCTAGAGTCGCTAAGAGTTGGAATCTACTCCACTGCACATAACCACCATCATGTATATATTACTTTACACCCATGTTCGGTGATTGGAAATTGAAAAGCCTCTACTGTATTTGACATGCTTCACTAGCTTGTGTGTGTAATTTCAATTGTCTTTAATTTTAATTTATGAAATTATTTTGAAATAATAGCTGGTAAACTTTTGTAAGTGATAATCAGAGGGAATGTGTGGTATAAACAGTGTAAGTTGGGACTTAATTTCCCTCTTGTGGGTTTGAGGTAGTTCACAAGTATCTCATTTTCTGCTGTTTATGGGACTAGAAGATCCTTTCTGGTTAAATTTTAAGTATAAAAGAAATAGAATGTTTCCTAGTTCACTTTTTCTTCTCTTTTTTTAAAAGTAAGTTGATTGTACTCAAGTAGGCAGCACTCAATTTTTGTGGCATAGCTATGAGCATAATTCAAGAAAAGATTTAATGTATAAAACAGATTTTTTTAAAACATGTCAGATACGCTTAAATTTTTAAAATATTGTTAACAATTACTTGAAGGTTTACAGGGCAGATCATCAATTCAGCAAAATGCAGTGATTACAGTGCCTTCCATGCACCCATCAGCTAACAGTATTTGCTTCTATTACTTTTTTTTTTTAATGTACACATTACCACATTGAAAATATACATTTGTTGAAATGTCCAAAGGGCACATTTTGCAAGCCAGCCTCCTGCTCTCAGGCAAACTGCCTTTATCAGTCCATAGGCCAACAGTCCTCTGCTGCTATCTCTGTATACCGTTGCCTCTGCCACCATCTCTGTTGTGGCCACTTCTCTGGTTAGGATCCCTCACTCCTCTCATGCTCTTCCCTCTTGATAATCGTAGGGGCCTCTGTTCCTGAAATGACATTTAAAGTTGTGATAATCACAATTAGTCCTGATAATAATTACAATTGAATTATAAAATCCTATCACCAGACCCATCTGGACAAGAGGAAAATTATTCAGTGGGGATAGAAATACATTTCTTTTGAAATTGTTAATATTCTTTTACTTCACTTTTTTCTTGACAGTCATCCACATATTAGACATAATACAGTATGGTGATGATGTTGTATATTCTAAGGTGTTCTCTTTGCTGTCTTTTGGACTGTTTCCCTCCATGATGCTTATAAAAATGATGTCAAGTTTTGCCAAATAGATTTTCTGGCCTTTTTCTCCTTTTATCTTGAGATGATAGCTATACGTTCACTAGTTACTTTATTGATATCTATCTCTAGAAGGAGTACAGTTAATGGGTATTTCTGAACAAAAGAGAATAATAGCAAAATGCAATCTAATTTTCTTTTTGGGGAGACCGGTGGTCTTTAAAGGAGAGTCAGGATTTTCTATAAATCAGGCATCATGCTCAACTTTTCATTGACTCTGATCATGGAAGAAACAGTTCAATTTGAAATGTTATTTATAGAATATCTTCTCTTTTTAATGCCAGCTAATTCTTTGAGTGTACCATTAAAGCTCTTAATATCTACCTAGTCAAAATAATAGCTGCTAAAGAGACTTTTGCAGGTTGTTTTCTCTTAGCATAAACCTAATTAGGTTCTGTAAATGTCTTTATTTGTTGAATGTCTTAGTTTTTAACTTGAGCAAATGAACTTTTTTGTTTTTGTTACTCTTTAAAATAATAAGACATGAAACATGGATTGGAGTCTTTGGGCCGTATAAAAGAAATGTTCTGCAAACTCAAGCACAATCACTTTGCTTTAATATTGGATATTATCCTATATTGAAATGATACTTTCTAGCCTATATCAAAATGCTATTTCAAAACCAAAAAGAATTAAGCAAATAATAAAGATTTCTGGGGTCAGTTTGCAGGAGTCAAAAGTAAAAAATGAAAAATGAAAAAAGGTGAATTACCATTTAGGAATCCTAAATATTAACAAATGAAAGGATACAAGGCTTAGGGTCAGACTGCTTTGTTTTAAACTCCCTTGTAGAGGAAATTGGGAGTTATGTTGAAAGTACAGTCCATTCATTCATCTGTCCTTGTAGGTTTTGGCACAAATTCCAGTGGAAATAGCATATTTGGAAATAAGCCAGCAGCTGGGACTCTGGGAACTGGACTTGGAGCAGGATTTGGAACAGGTAAAGAGTTACTATAAAAATTAGGAAGTTATACATATTGGCTTTCTAATTGCTAGAACCAGAGGCTCTATTTGGTTGCATGCCTGCAAATAAGAGGGCCAGATTGCCATTTTTATAGATGGATTCGAAAAAGATTCCCAGCTTTTATACTTTACCAGGACTAAAAACATTGGCACATTTATTTTAATGGCTACATGTTCCCTTTTCTACAAAGTTTTTGTGTTCTCACAGTGCTGATCTATATGGAATTTTCAGTATTTATAGTGAGACTTGTATGTCAGTGTGATAACATTGTTCATGCAGTTTCCCTGGGTTGCCTTTATAACAGGGATTTGAGACTTTGAACTAAATACTTATCAAATAAGTTTTATTACTTTAATGGTAAGGCAGAGCAAATAAAAAAGCACTTACTGAAGTATTTAATACATATTCGAGTATTTTACAAAGTTTTTGCATGCCATTCAATTCTGAAATGTCAACCTGAAATATCACTCCTTTTTCTTCCTACTGTTTTGTGTTGTGTTTTTTTTTTATTACATTTTTATTGTGAATTGAGTGATGGGAGAACATCAGTTTTACACTCGTTCATTGCAATGTCTACAATCTCTGTGCATCATCATTTAATAGTATTTGCTTTTTTTAATTTTATGAACACATATACAGTCAGGAATATATAATCATTAAGTAAAACCAAAGGGCAAGCCTGCCTCCTGGCCACGAACACAGCCTTTCTCTTTCCATCAGTCTAGAGTCCTCAGGTGCTCTGTTTCTCCATGCCTTTCATCTCTGCCTCCGTCTCTGGTGTCACTGCTTCTTTGGATAGGGTCCCACATTTTGCTCATGTTCTTCTCCGTTGATGGTCCTAGGGTCCTCAGTTCCTGACTGTATGATTAGCAACTTCCCCTGTTTTTGTTACAGAACTTTTACCTTTACTGTTGTAACATTCGCAATTAGTCGTGATAAAAGTTACTATCGAGTCATAAGAATCTTATCCCCATCTCTTTTCATCTCTTCCTACTCTTGTCCAGGAGTGATTTTGGTAGTGCCTTTGAAAACATTGATCCTTCTGCTTTAGTTGAACAGTAGTTGTGGTCATAAAATGGATAAGTGCTTCAACATGAACAGTTCAGTGGTGGTGTGAAGAATACGGTTTTGCCTGCCTTTCAGTCTTTTTGGTCTGTTTGCTTGTTTTGTTTCTTTTTTCCCCTAGGAAAAGGTATTTATTTAATTCCTTTGTTAAAATAGGCACATAATTTTCAATTTTATGATACCTGGTTTATATGTATCAATTATCAGTACTCTGGTACTGTGGGTTAATGCATCAGACTGTAAAGCTGTTTGAATTGTAAGGTCAGCAGTTCAAGCTCACCAGATGTTCCTTGGAAACCCTAAAGTCATTGTGGGTCGGAATTAACTCTACGGCACTTAACAACAACACGAAAATGATCATTTGATAAGTAAAATCTTTGTGGAAAATGCCAACATTTATAAATAAAATCAGTTGATCATAAGCGTAAGAAAGAAAATAACAAAATGCCTTCCGTTTCTTATGACCATTTATTTCCATTGTTCCTGCTTCAGTTGTCCAGTTATCTTTGCTTCTAGGATCTGAGCATTCGTTTTTCATCTCCTTAATAGAATATCATTTTGCACTCTCGTTTTTCTCGTTTGCTTTTTTCCTTTTAAAAATAAAACTACATGCTTGTGAAAAATTTCCAGCTGTACAAAAGTATCGTGAAAAATCAAAGCCTTTCAGCTGTGGAATAACAGCTGTTGAAAGTTTGGCATATGTCTAGTCAGACCCTTTTCTATTTATTTTTCAATGCTGTATTTATACACACACATATGTTTGTTACATGCTATTATTGTTAGGTGCCATCGAGTCGATACCAACTCATGGAGACCTTATGCATAGCAGAGCAATACAATGCCCGATCCTGGGCCAACCTCACTACTGTTGCCACGCTTGAGTCTATCGATGCTGCCACTTGGCCAATCCATCTCGTTGGGGGCCTTCCTGTTTTTCTCTTACCAAACATGATATCCATCTCCAGAGACTGGTCCCTCCTGACAATATATCCAAAGTAAGAGAGACGAAGTTTGGCCATCTTGGCCTCCAAGGAGCAATCTGGCTACACTTCTTCCAAAACGGATCTATTGGTTCTTTCGACAGCCCATGACACTTTCAGTATTCTCCTCCAGCACCATAACTCAAAGCATCAATTCTTCTACGGTCTTTCTTATTCACTGTCCAGCTTTCGCATGCATATGAGGTTATTGAAAATACCATGGCTTGGGTCAGACACACCTTAGTCCTCAAGTGGACATCTTTGCTCTTCAACACTTTAAAAAGGTCTTGTGCAACAGATTTGCCTAATGCAGTACGTCCTTTGATTTCTTGACTGCTGCTTCTGTGAGTGTTGATAGTTGATCCAAGAAGAATGAAGTCCTTGACAACTTCAATCTTTTCTCTGTTGATAAGAATGTTGTTTATTGGTCCAGTGGTGAGGATTTTTGTTTTTTCAACATTGAGATGTAATCCATACCGAAGGCTGTACTCTTTGATCTTCATCAATAAATGTTTCAAGTCCTCTTCACTTTCAGCAAGCAAGGTTGTATCATCTGCATATCACAGGTTGTTAATGAGTCTTCCTCCAATCCTTATGTCACGTTTTTCTTCATATAACCCAGCTTGGATATACGTATGTGTATTTTATATATAGGATTTTTGTTGTATTTTTAAGTAAAATCCATACTCTTAACTGCATGAGTAGCTTATGGTTTAAACAAAAACTGAGATGCATTAGTTGGCTTTGATATTAATGTAGTGTGTTACAGCCAGAGTTAAAAAAAAATGAACTAGAATATTAAAATAATTGTATATAATAAAGTTAAGTATTGCTTTTTGAAGCTTACGTGTATGTTTTGGATCTCAGTGTATTTCATACATTGCTGTACAATTTTTTGAAACTCATTGTCTGTGTATTCTGTGAGTTGGGACTTGTTTTTTGCCCTTCATGTGATACGGGCATTTAAAATTTTTGTTTGGGTCAATACCTATTGTTCTGTTTTATAACTGTCGAGTGTTCTATTGTGTGTATATATATATATATATATGTGTGTGTGTGTGTGTATACATGCACATATAAATATTTAAATACCATTATTTACTTTACTTTTTTCCTATTGGTACATATGTGATATACTTAATAAGGTTAGTAATCCTTTAAGGAAGATCCTTGTTAGGTAATTTTTTTGTATTAGTATTATGATAGGGTTGATACTCCAAATGGAAATTATGTCAAGTTTGTACATGTATTTTCAATTTTGGTAGCTCTTGCTAATTTATCAAAAAAAGCATGCCAATTTGCATTCTTGTTCACATTGTATAAAACTGCACATTTTCTTATCTCCTTTTTATATTGTTGGACCTTTTCATATTAGCAAAAATGCTAAGCGGACATTGGCATCTTCAGTTTGCATTTTTCTGATTACAAGTGAAGGTGGATGTTGTTGTTGTTAGGTGCCATCGAGTTGGCACTGACTTATAGCGACCCTGTGCACAGCAGAACGAAACAATGTCCTATCCTGGGTCAGCCTCACTACTGTTGCCACACTTGAGTCCATCGATGCTGCCACCTGGCCAATCCATCTTGTTGGAGGTCTTCCTCTTTTTCTCTGACCCTCCGTCTTATCAAGCATGATATCCTTCTTCAGCAACTGTTCCCTCCTGACAGTATGTCCAAAGTATGAGAGACGAAGTTTGGCTATCTTGGCCTCTAAGGAGCTCTCTGGCAGCACTTCTTCCAAAACAGATCTATTGGTTCTTTTGGCAGCCCATGGCACTTTTAGTGTTCTCCTCCAACACCATAATTCAAAGGCATCAATTCTTCTATGATCTCCTTATTCATTGTCCAGCTTTCGCATCCATATGAGGTTATTGAAAATACCATGGCCTGGGTCAGGTGCACCTTAGTCCTTAAGCTGACATTTTTGCTCTTCAACACTTTAAAGAGGTCTTGTGCAGCAGATTTGCCAAATGAAGTATGTTGTTTTGATTTCCTGACTGCTGCTTCCATGAGTGTTGATGGTTGACCCAAGCAAAATGAAATCAATGGCAACTTGCAGTCTTTTCTCATTATATGGACGTTATTTTTTGGTCCGATGGTGAGGATTTTTGTTTTCTTTACATTGAGGTGCAACCCATACCAAAGGCTGTGGTCTTTGATCTTCATCAATAAGTATTTTAACTCCTTTTGGCTTTCAATAAGCAAGGTCATATCATCAGCATATCACAGGTTATTAATGAGCCTTCATTCAATCCTGATGCCACGTTTTTCTTCATATAACCCCACTTCTTTGATTATTTGCTCAGCATACAGATTGAATAAGTGTGGTGAAAGAATACAACCCTGTCGCACGTCTTTCTTTTTAAACCATTCAATGTTCCCTTGTTCTGTTAGAACAACTGCCTCTTGGTCCATGTACAGGTTCCTTGTGAGTACAATTAAGTGTTTCAGAATACTCATACTTCATGATGTTGTCCATGGCTTGTCATGATCCACAGTTTATTAATTGTAAATATAGCATGTTTATGTATCTCAATGAATTAATCTCTTTTATACAGTTGTATTTCATCTATGTTTTTAATCAAGGGTAGGGAGACATTTGACTCCCAATCACCATTATAATCATTCTCCTCCTCAAAATTTTGCTGTAAAGCTTTGTATTTGAGTAATGTAATTATTGTTTTTCATGGAACTTGCACTATTCTCCATGGTTTAAGACTTAACAGTGTCACTAAACCCTGTCCAAAGAAAGTTTTTTCAGGTGACAATATCATATATTTTAAGTGGAGTTCTGGTGTGGAGCTATAGCGTAAGCACTGCACTGCTAACCACAAGGTTGGAATTTCAAACTTACCAGCCACTCCTCAAAAAGCCTTTATAGGATTGTTATGAGCTGAAAGGACTCAATGGTACTTAATGATAACAACATAT